TCAGCCAATATGATCTATAAAATCGTATCTACAACTCATGTGCTTTCAGAATATGTAATAAAAATTGGGGGTCACCTTTCATCCTATGGAGCTATAAGTGATTAAAAATATTCATGGATTTATGCATATGTAAATATTGACGCACGCGTACGCGCACGTCAAGTTGCACGAACGGAAAATTAAGGTACATAACATTCAACCTTGACCTGAAGATTATGCTCACTTAATATGTTACAGAAATGACGAATGGTTAAGATGATATGGGCTCATCAACGTTTTGAGGAAAGAAAGATGTGGGGGTCAGAAAATTTTTTTGACCATGATGACATCATCAAAATGTAAAAAGAAATCAAACATATGAAAGAGAATTGCCTCAGCTATAACATACTCAAAGTTGGAAGACGATCGATTAAGGATAAGCGAGATACGCTCAAATGCGTATTTTCAAAAATGTCATAGTCATAGCTATAATTACCTTTCTTTGAATTCAGATGCCAATATGATGACGTCACAATGTCCGATCAGCCATTTTGATCTATAAAATCATATTTACAACTTATGTGCTTTCAGAATATGTAATAAAAATTGGGGGTCACCTTTCAACCTAAGGAGCTATAACTGATTAAATATAGGCCTGATTTTAGCATAATAAACTGTATAGCGGCACAAATATGCGCAAAGATACCTATGTTTGATGCGCACGTACGGTATTGCTATTGGCCAAAAGATGACCGAAAAGAATGGAAATTTGTGAAAACAATGTCAGGAACCCAAAATATGTAAAATAACGTAATTTCTAGCTTTCGTACGTGCTGCGCACATAAAAATGCACGCGCGTAGTGGAAAATAAAAAAAAAAATTGGCCGAAAACGTGCTCTAATTTAGTCAAAAAGTGATTTTAAACATTTTGAAATTTTGACGCACGCGTACAGTACATTCAACATTAACCTGAAGTTAATGCTCACTTAATACGATTTCGAAATGGCAATTTGTTAGGCTGATATAATCGATAATGTAAAAACGCAAAATTGCGCGTAGATGACGTCACGCATGACTGAGCGCGTTGAAAAGCTTACCATGACTATTCCAGACCAAGCCAAATGTTCGTTGACAGCGATTGTGCGTAACTCGTGGCAGTTTTTGAGATATCGTGCGAACAGAAAAGGGGAGAAAGAAAGAAGAATAAGAAAAAAAAGATGATCCTGACAATAACAAGAGGTGATCCGCTAGTGTAGCGGATCACCAATTACTTTCTGAGATCATTAATATTGAAAATATGTTCGATGGTAAAGATGAACCGAATATAGTAATTTTAGGAGATTTTAATGCCAGAATTGGGAATAACATAATTAATGGAGATCCTGTTCTCAATACAAATGGTGAAAGATTGTTAGAATTTAAGAATGACGCTAATCTTTCAATTTTAAATAGCACTATTTTTTGTAAGGGTAAAATGACATGGGGAAGAGGTAAACAACTTAGCACAATTGATTATATTTTGTCATCAAAAAGCATGTTTAATTATATTTTAGAAATGATTGTAGATGAATTAGGAAAATACGGCTTGGGCAGCGATCATAATATGTTGTTGCTTACACTAAATATAAAAGATTCTCGATATAAAACTAAACGAAGATGTAAAAAATCAATCTGGAATATTAGACATGGGGAAGATTTTACTGTGTATAGAGCTTACTTAGAGAACAATTTTAAAGATTGGGATGCAAGTGTTTTTAACAATGTCGATGATTTGTGGAAATCATGGAAAAGTAGAGTTATCAAATCTGCTGAAGAAAGCATCGGTAAAAAAACAATTACAGGAAAAAATAGACCGTGGTTTGACAAAGAAGCAGCTATAGCAATTGAAAATAGGAAAAAAGCAGCACAGATACATAGAAAATATATTAAAAGAAACGATAGAAACGAGGCCACCAGTGAATTTCTTTGGCAGAATTACCAACAGAAAAGATTAATTGCCAAAAACTTAATTAAACAAAAGATCTTTGAGATGAGGGTAGATAAATCAATTGTTATTGCAAACAAAGGAGGTCCAGGTTGTAAAGAATTTTGGCAGTCACTTAGAGGGTCAAAGTTCAATCAATCTAACACAAATTGCTTTAAGATTCCGGGGTCAGAAAATATAGTAACAGGAGTTGAAGAATGACACATTAAAAAATTATTGGGAATCATTAAGTAAATCTAAACCTAACTCTTCTAACAGTAACATGCAAAAAACTAAACAATTTATTAATAATATTAGAAACACTGATCGGGATGATGGCATCCCAAATTGTATATACGATATAGAGATTGACATTGACATTGTTAAATATGCACTAAGGCTTGCAAAGAACGGTAAATCACCAGGTGAAGATAGTATTACCAATGAAATGTTAAAAAATGGTGGTTCTATTATGGAACATGCTCTTTTAAATTTATTTAAAAGAATCATATCTTTCGAAAAACCACAACTGATTGGAACTTAAGTATTATCATTCCTATATTTAAGCAAGGTGATAAGAAAGTTTTAAATAATTATCGTGGTATTTCCCTTACATCTTGTGTATCTAAAATATACAACAGAATTATAGCAATGAGTGTGTCAAGTCATCTTGAAAACAATAACGCTCTTTCGGAGGTTCAGGGAGGCTTCAGAAAAAACAGACAATGTGAAGATCATGTATTTGTTGTAAAAAGCATAGCTGCTTGTAGACGCAAAGAAGGGAAAAATACATATCTGGCCTTCCTGGACTTCCGGAAGGCATTTGACACTGTATGGAGAGACGGTCTGCTGAAGGCCGTCTGGAATGTAGGAATTAGAGGACGCTTATGGAAAATAATAGATAATATGTATGCTAACATAAAAGGCATGGTTAAATTTGGAGATTGTATAACAGACGAATTTCCCATTGAACAAGGACAAGGTTGCGTTTTATCTCCAATTTTATTTTGTATATTCATTAACGAATTCACAAAAATTCTAAGAACAAATGATATTGGTGTTCATATCAATGACACATGGCTCGGGCCTTATTCTGGGCCGATGATGTAATTTTAATTGCCGAAAATGAGCGACAGTTGACACAGATGTTAGATTTAGCAGCCAAATTTGCCAAAGATTGGAACTTAAATTTTAATCATACCAAGTCTAACGTACTTGTCGTGGGAAAGAGGATAGACAGAAACAAGTTGTGGAAATTAGGAAACCAATCAATAACTGAATGTGAAACTTACAAGTATCTTGGGGTCACTATCAAGACTCATGAACGACCATATACATATTGAACATGTAGTACAGAAATGTAACCGCCTTATTGGATATATAAAATCAATCATCGGTAATTTAAATAGCTTCAATAGAGTATACTACGGAGATATCCTATGGCGAACGATTGCTCTTCCATCGATAAATTATGGTAGCTCTGTATGGGTTGGAAGTAAAAGTGACACCGATAGAATTGAAAAGTTACAACTACAAATGGCTCGATTCATTTTAAAGGCCCCCCGTAATACACCTTGCGCTACACTGTACGGTGATCTTGGGTGGTCCAAAATTCCTCTAATTCAAAATATCTATAGAATTAATTACACTGATAGAATTTTAAAAATGGAAGACAATCGTTGGCCTAAATTATTATTGAAAACTATTGTAAATACATCATCAGATAATCTTTGATATTGCCTTTAAAATACCTACCTGTATAAAAAACATTCTCAACGACTGTAATATAGATAATATTTTCTTAGAATTACAAGATGAAGATAATAATGTGAGCACAGATTGGGCTTTTAAAGCAAAAAGTATCATGAGAGATCTGTCACTCTCCCATTGGCTTGATGATGGAAATAGTATAAGTCATCAATACAAGACTATATGGCTATTAAGAATGTACCCAACTTAGAAGGCTACCTTCTCGACAAATGTGACTTTGAGGGTGCATCATTAAAATTTAAATTGCGTTCGAACACTCTTCCTCTGAATTACAAACTTGCAAAACTCTCAAATATGCCCTGTGAAAATGGCAATTGCAAACTATGTAATACAGGTGAGGTGGAAGATTTAATTCACTTTCTTTTAATTTGTCCTATTCTTAATAATATCAGAGAAATCGAAATTGCCAGATTTAAACAACTTTATAGTAACAATCTTCTACATGTTTTCCAAGAATTCGAACAGTCTAATAATAGAAATAAATTACATTTTATCCTCGGAAATGAAAATAACCACTTTTATGATAAGAATATCAATTTCTTAATTGACAAATTTTGCAAATCTTTAGCCAAAAGTCTGTGGAAAAGGAGATGTGACTTTAATATTTAAATGTTTGTAGCTTAAGTTTTATCTGTGCTGTTGTGTAATTACAGTATTATATTTGATTTTTTAAGCATTAAGCTTGTGTAATAATTCCTGTGCGTGCATACTCATACTGTATGTAGAGCATAAACGCTTTCTTTTAATTCTAATTTAATTTAATTTAAATTTTGTTGCATGACTTTTCGAACCAGTCATTCTTGTTTTGTTTGTAGTTATTTTAAGTGTTTAATTTGATTGGTGGTTGGGCAATAATGTCATTTGAGTTATCTGTAAATCTCTCATAATTAAGAATTTAATTTTTTAAATTTCTGTTGCTTTGTTCTTTTCTGGATGCACCGTTAGAATTTGTCTAACGTGTGCCACTGTTATAAAAGTGTTATCCAATAAATATTGTATTGTATTGTATTCGTCTGGAATGCCAGATGGTACAGTGACTCTCAGTTCGGATTTACTTCAACATACACAATGCTGTTGTTTGTGGGAGTGCATGTCTATAAGTTGTACTACATATAAACAAAAATTGTACAACTTATTTTTCACAAAAAAGGGTGTCTGATAAAAACCTGGGCAACAGTTATTGAAATAGATTGTTGAATATTTAAAGGGTAGTAACCAACTTTTTTCCCAGTTTTTAAATCTGTATCTCATTAACTGTTTCCAATATTTTTTGTCAAACATGCTCTTTGTGTCTTGGCAAAATCAGTTGTTACACATAAACAGATTTTTTTTTCTCCACAGCCTGGCTTTAAACATTAAAAACAAAAATACAATTCAAAATAAGTAAAAACAATAGACAAAATAAGGCACAAAGGGAAAAAACAAGGAAAATTATACAATCCTATAGTAATTTTCAAAAAAAAAAATCGAAATTCCTCGGTGAGGAAAGAAAATTGTATGTAATTTTCAGCATATTTAATAGTAGACTCAAAAATCAAACAATTAAGCCTTTCAAAGCTTATAAGATAATCACTTTCAAAAGATTTTGTGCGAGGCTTGACCACGAGTACTTTTCTCTCATCGGGGACATCAGACCCTAACCATCAGGAAAATCTTTGGCCTGGAATAGTGACAATAAGCTCATATCATAATTTCCCGTGTGCGCATAAGGCACACGTATGCTTGCGTCAAAATTTTAAAATGCTCAAAATTACTTTTCCATTCTTTTAGTGTCATTTGGTGGGGAGGAGGGGGGCACGCGCCAATAACAATGTATCAAACATACAAATTTGTGCGAAAGTTTGTGTTGCCATTCAGTAAAAATATGTCAAAATTATGCCTATATTTAATCAGTTACAGCTTCTTCGGATGTACGGTGACCCCCAACTTTTATTACATACCCTGAAAGCACACGAGTTGTAGATATGATTTTATAGACATTGTGACGTCATCATATTGCCATCTAAATGCAATATAAAAAATAAATATGTGGGGCTTATGCCTAAATTTTCAATTGACAGTTGAAATTGCGACTACATCGACTCCCCTTTTTCAGTTTATGGGGAGAGGTACTTTAGTGGTAAACTATTTGTTTAGCATGCCTGTTGCAACTAACTGAGTGAGATTCAAAAGATTTTTTTCTTTTCTTTTGCCAGACAAGCGTTTCATCTAACTTGTCCTTAGTGACGAGTTCAAAATTTAGTATTATATCATCATAATTAATATATAATCATTATTACATATAAAAATACTATGATAATAATTATTATCAAGTTGTTTTGCCACCACACCTTATGTAATTTATTGTTATTATAAAGTTACCATTTCATTTTTCAAATGAATTTGACCTACCTTTCTCAAGTCTTATACAAACAAGAACAAAAAGTTTTTATCAATTAAAGTACTTGCATTTTTCAATATTAATAATAATAATAAAGAGGAACTCACTTCCAATCCATATCCGATTATTCAATAACCAACCTGAAACAGTGGAATACAAAAAACATTAAACTGTTTTGATCTTCAAATTAAAATTTCAAAAACAACAACTAAATCAATTTATTAAACTTCTCTAAATAGCAGCAAAATTGCTGATTGCAAGAAATTACAATTTATACAATATGAAAAAAATAGTTACTTGAAAAAAGAGTTACTTGAATTTAAAGAATTAGGAATCAATAAATTATAAACATACAAATCAATCAAATACTACATTGTGAGAAATTAGAATTTTTTAAAATATGAAAAAACATTACTTAAAACATTTTAAGTGCTCCCTCCTATGCATAAGTGTAAGCTAAATTACGTCGGGATTAATTAGCAAAGATATTGAGACAATTATTTTGAAGTTGAGACAATTAGCTGAAGTTTTTTTTCGCAAATCTGACTACAAAACCATATCGAAATTACACATTCCACTGAGTTGTGGTTCGCACTAGCTGCTGAAGGCGGCGTTCGGGGAACCCTGTATCCAGATCAGGGTGTTTTGACAAATTATCAAACAGGAAGTCATGGTTGACTGGGTGAAGGGGGGGGGGTATGTAACCTGCACACAATGTGATTTGTAACAAGGCAGGGTAATTGGTAAGGTCTCATCCACATTCACAGGAAATCTAGCTTATCTGGGAAGTAAACATCTTTGATGGCTTGCTTCCTTTCTTATGTAAACTGCAGGGTCTCCTCCATGTCAATTTCCTGAATGTTTGGTATATAAATTAAAACCACCAACATTCAGATAATGGTCCAGAATACCATCCGTTTGCGAGGTTACAATGAAGGTGGCAACATCAACAGGATAGATTTTATCCTGTCAAGCAAGTAGTAGTTGACATTTTTTTTTTGAATAATGGAGTTGGCATTGGTGAAAAAATGTCTGGCATCTGTTTTCCTTCTGTTTATGGAGACACTGCATACTTTAAAATCCTTCCATGTATTCCATGAGGGTTTTTGGTGTAAAGGTTGTTCGGTTGCCAACAATCACTTTAGAGGCTGTCATGCATGTAACTACGCATAATATGAATAAGAAAACCCATCATAAAATGGTTTTTCTGTCATCGTGGCATGTTTGAAATGGCTTTGGATCAAAAGGTGGAGAAAATGCATCTCCTTTATTTTGCTTAAGTACCTGTAACACTTTATCTCCTACTTTTAGACAACTTTCATTTGTATTAAGTTTTCTATCTTCATATTCTTTCATTTCATGATACATTTGGTGGAGTAAATGCATTTCCTTTATTTTGCTTTAAGTACCTGTAATACTTTATCTCCTAGTTTTAGACAACCTTCATTTGTATTAAGTTTTCTATCTTCATATTCTTTCATTTCATGTTTATTCTCTGAATAAACATACATTTTTTGCCCATTCAGAAGTTCCATTGGAGATATCTGTGTTGTAGTACAATGCTCTGTATTGTCCTAGAAATTTGTGCAATGCTTGTTGTATGTTTTAATGTTCGATGATTGCTGTTAAGAGTTTTCATGAACCATTCTACTTTTGAGTGGCCAAAATAAGGTTATTAGGCATTTTTCGTTTTGACTACGCGGCCAGTCTACTACGAACTAATAGAGCGTAACAGACATCTGCGCATGCTCACAAACCTTACTGGCTAAATCGGCGTTGTGACAGCTTCCGCGACAACCCCAATTTCTGAATTTGGCGTGGTGGCGACTACCCTAATATTGACCAATCAGATCACCGGATTGTTTGGCAAACTGCTGGTAACTTTTTTGTTAGGGGTTGCAATTTTCATCGCATCCACGATCGAGCATTGTTCGTGAGTAATTAAATGTTTTATGAAGGCCTATTTATACACATGCAATAAATGAGGAATGAATAGTCACCATAAAATTAGGTAAATCAGGGGATCTAGTGAAAAAAGGGCCTTAGGCTTAGGCTAGCCTAGCCTTGTCAGGGTGATTTTGGGTAAGAGAAAACACATTAAATTATCTGGTGCCGCTAGCTAGGGCAGGCATCCGCCCTTGATATCGTGGATCAAGCCTTGCTATATAAATACCTCTGTTTAAAATTGTTATTTATTTGTACATCATCGTTGCATTTGGCAAATTGCCTGAGCAGGCCTGACACCCCTCTTCCCCGGTTAACGACTCTTTTGACACCTAGGCTAGGCTAGGCCTAGCCAGGTAGATCCTAGCCAACCAGTGAAACATCACTCAGTGTTTTCTGGAAACTTTTTATTTTGTAGACAGTATTTGACTAAAGTTTTTTTTCACATTTAATTTTTCAAATATAAAACAAGAGAACATTGTTCTCTGGTATTAAAACCATGGTCGACTAACTCCCCTCCGTAGGCCTACGTACATGTGCTGCGTCGTCGTAGTCGCCTTAAAAAAAACGAAAACAGCTCTTGGTGTAGTACGCGAACAGTGTCTTGGCGTTGCCGTCACGGTCCATTAGTTCGTAGTAGACTGGCCGCGTAGTCAAAACGAAAAATGCCTATTCGTTTATGCTTAAAGCCAAGATATTCTGCGTATTGTCAAAATTTGGTGCTCGTAAATGGAGGACCGTTATCTGTTTGGATGACCTCTGGAATTCCTTGTCATGCTAGTGTGGCATCGAGTTTTGGGAACACTGCTTGTGCTGATTTTGATGTTACAATTTCGACCTCTTGAAAATAACAACATAAATCAAGATATTTTGAATTACATATTAACTAGACTAGATATTTTAACTAAGGCAATGGTCATTTTAAAGGGTTCAATGCATTCTGCATTTTGTGAATTCGATGCTTGACAAGTGACACATTCTTTTATCTTTTCTGTGTAATTTATCTATCATACCAGACCTTTTCTCATATTAAGGCTTTCGTCTTCACAATGCCTTGATGACTAGCATGTGCAATTTCTATTACTTGGAGAATAGAGGGGCGCCATGAGCGTTTTCTTTAAACGGATACCGGCGCTTTAAAAGTTTTCATTATTATCATTATTATTATTACTTTATCACGTAATGATTTTGGTATAACTACAGCAACTCCTCTGAGTATGATGTAGTCGGTACTGCCAGTTCATCTTTTAATTGCTTAAATTCACCAAGTTCAGCGTCATTCCAAAACGCATGATTATTCTGTTCAGTTGCCTGTTTCAATTTCTGTAGATGGCTTTCGACTTAACCTTCAGCTTCAATATCACTCTTTTGCATCGCTTTTGGTATCTCTCTTCTACATCAGTCAAATATCTGCTCGCATATCCTATAATATGCCCTATTGGCACAGTATAGTAGCTAATCATTGGCTTGCATCTACCAACACCTGTGAGTCTTCCTGAATGTCAAGTATGTCATCACTGTGGGCTGAAGAGCAGGGGTGGATCCAGGATTTGAAATCACGCTAGAGTAATTAAACACCTAATCATATCACCTTGTTTTTGAGCTAGCACCCCACCCCTTCCCCACTTCACTTACCTCTGCACCCGCCATCACCTATCAATCACCTTTTCCAAAACGCTAGATACGACACTGCAGCACGCTACCTACCTATACTACTTACCAAGCCTGTAGCTAGGTCAGCCTAGGCTGGTAAAGCCAAGGCGCCTTAGCTAGGCTAGAAGGGATACGCCCCCGCCCCCCGCCCCCCCAAAAAAAACGACCGTAGAGTAAGGCCTGTGCGAGGAATACTTCCTCTGCGCAAAAGTTAGGTCTAGAAATCTGTTCGTAGCTGGCAATCTCCTACCATTAGTTGACTAGCTTTACCCACGTCTCAGGACCTACGGCGACAGGGCGTTCTCTATAGCTGCCCCTAAGTTGTGGAATTCATTACCGACTGATCTGCGAGGCACCTTCACTCATTGTTTTTAAAAAGAATTTGAAGGCTTATCTCTTCAATCTCTGTTAACTTTCTCATTGTTTTTTTTATTTTTTTATTTATTCTCTGTACTTAAATATTTGTAGTTAAGTTGTTCTGTAGTTAATTCTTTTTTTCCACTGAAAAGTCGCACCTCCTTACTTGAGGTAGCGCCGCCAACTTAGCAGTGCACGGTAGGGGAGCCATAGGCTTATCCTTGGTGGAAGCTACTGGAGCCCAGCAAACTGACGCCGAGGTACCTGCGAGTACACGGTTGTGATGGCGACGATATCTCAAAATCGGGGGTGCGCACATCCCCGCCCCCTTCGCGTTCTTTTGTCTTTGTTTCTTGTGGCCTCATAAGCACCTTGAGATGGTTTTCTGTGGAGCGCTATAATAAATATATGAACATTACAGCAATTTAGCTCTGTATTTTAAAAATATATGTAAAGAGTATTATAAGATGTAATCATGTTAAACTATATTATTACAGATAAACTTACTGATTAGAAAATTTTGATACAGCAGGAATGAAATTTATAAATTAAATTATGCTACTATACATTCACTGTAACTGAATTACTTTCTTTTAGAGGACCAATACAGACTGAGTTATCCGTTAAATTAGTAGGGAAACTTACCACATATAACAGCAATTGCACCACATACTATACAAACACACCCAACCACAATGAAAACTGTAAAAAAATCAAAAATTAAAGTCAAGACAAGGTTTAATAAAATACACAAGAAACTTTATTTGATATATTACATTTTGGAACCAAAAAGAAAAATATTAATGTATTTTCTAGAAATTAATAAAAGTTTTAAAGATGCGTTCAAAAAATTACAGTCAGCCATTGTGGACTGACCCTTTTTAAGTGCAATTGGGTTTTAATTACAATTGGGTTTTAATTTTTATATTTTATATATAATTTTTTATAACATTTTATATGTACAGAAGTTAGAAATTACGTTTTTTACATATTTTGGGTTCCTGAAATTGTTTTCACAAATTTCCATTTTTTTTGGTCATCTTATGGCCAATAGCATTGTAGTACGTGCGCATCAAACATAGGGATTTTTGCATGGATTTGTGCCGATATACAGTGAAAATATGCTAAAGTAAGGCCTATTTTTAATCAGTTATAGCTCTTTAGGATGAAAGGTGATCCCAAATTTTTAATACATATTTCGAAAGCACGAGGTGTAAATATGAGTTTTTAGATCATAATGGCCAATCGCACATTGTGACGTCATCATATTGCTATCTAAATTCAACAAAGAGAATTTTATCTATGACGCCATTTATAAAAATGCGTATTTGAGAGTATCTCGCTTATTATTAATCTATCGTCTTCCAACTTTGAGAATGTTATAGCGAAGAAATTTTCTTTCCAATATGTGACTTCTTTTTACATTTTGATGACGTCATCATGTTCAAAATAAATGTTTTTTCTGACCCCCTTCATCTTTCTTTCCTCAAAACATTGATGACCCCATATCATTTTACCCATTCGTCATTTCTGAATCATATTTAGTGAGTATAAACTTCAAGTCAAGGTTGAATGTCATGTACCTTAATTTTCCGTTTGCGCTATTTAGCGTGCATGTACGCCTGCGTCAAATTTATATATGCTTAAAATTATGACTATATTTGATCAGTTATAGCTCCTTAGGATGAAAGGTGACCCCCAATTTTTATTACATATTCTGAAAGCACATGAGTAATATAGATATGATTTTATAGATCATTATGGCTGATCGGACATTGTGACGTCATCATATTGCCATCTGATTTCAAAGAAACTTAATATTTATATATTGATAAATATTATGAATGATATAAGTTCCTCACCAACAGGCATTTGTCAATGAAAGTGACACATATCTCATATCAGGAGTCAACATTTTGTGACATTACCATGCGCATGTGCGTCATGACGAGTGCGTAAGCATAAGTAGATCTTTTAAAATGATCCAAATTCCTTTTTTAAAACTGAATTAGTGTATTTAAAACTTGTTCAATCCAAACTGTGTACACCTCGAGGGTCAAAGTGCGGCGGATCACCAAACTCGTCCTCAGTGACAAGTTCAAATCTAGTTTATTCTTCTTTCTTTCTCCCCATTACTGTTTGCACGATATCTCAAAATTGCTACGAGCTAGGCACAGGTCGCTTCATCGATCATTTTGGCTTCGCCTGCAATAGTCATAAGATTTTCAAGGTGACCAGTCATGCAGGATGTCGGCTACACGCAATTTTGCATTTTTACATTATCGATCATATCAGCCTAACCATCTGCTATTTTGAAATCGTATTAGGTGAGCATTAACTTCAGGTCAATGTTGCATGTACTGTACCCAAATTTCACGCGTGTGCTTCATAACGTGCGCCTAAGCGTGCGTCAAATTTTTTACGTGCGCAGCACATACGGACGCTACAAATTTTTGGTTCCTGAAATTGTTTTCACAAATTTACATTCTTTTCGGTCATCTTATGGCCAATAGCAATGTCGTACGTGTGCATCAAACATAGGGATCTTTACGCATATTTGTGACGTTATACAGTGAAAATGCTTAAATCATGCTTATTTTTAATCAGTTATAGCTCCTTAAAATGAAAGGGGACCCCCAATTTTTATTACACAATCTGAAAGCACATGAGTTGTAAAGGTAATTTTATAGATCATAGTGGCTGATCGGACATTGCGACATCATATTGCCATCTGAATTCAACAAAACTGATTTTATCGATAACGTCATTTTTGAAAATACGCATTTGAGCCTATCTCGTTTACCCTTGGTCGATCGTCTTCTAACTTTGAGTATGTTATAGCTGAGACAATTTTCTTTCATAAATGTGACTTCTTTTTACATTTTGATGATGTCATCATGGTCAAATTAAATGTTTTCTGACCCCCCCCCCCTCATCTTTCTTTTCTCAAAACGTTGATGACGTCACATCATCTAACCATTCGTCATTTCTGAATTATATTAAATGGGCTTATACTTCAGGTCAAGGTTGAATGTCAGGTATCTTAATTTCCGTTTCGCGCATTTTAGCATGCACTTACGCGTGCGTCAAAATTTATACATGCTTAAAACCATGAATATTTTAAATTAGTTATAGCTCCTTAGGATGAAAGGTGACCCCCAACCTTTATTACATATTCTGTAGGTACATGAGTTGTAGATATAATTTTTTAGATCATAATGGCTAATCGGACATTGTGACATCATCATATTGCCATTTGAATTCAATAAAACTGAATTATATCGATGACGTAATTTTTTAAAATATGCATTTGAGCATATCTCGTTTATCCTTGGTCGACTGTCTTCCAACTTTGGGTATGTAACAGCTGAGAAAATTTCCTTTCATATATGTGACTTCTTACATATTTATGACGTCATCATAGTAGTACAAGAAAGTTAGCATAAAATTTAGTGAAAGGTTGAAAAAATTGCAACAGAATTTATTTTACCACAGTGCATTTCAATAAGGTCCCTATTTGAACATGTTATAAGTCTAAAAAAATCCAGGTAGGGGTTTTTAATATTTAGCAACCAATGTATGTATTACATTACAGATTAATGCTAATATCTTATAAAAGCGGCCGCCATCTTGGATTTTAAAATGGCCACCATGTAAAACATATATTTATCTATATCTCCGCTTCTAAACCACTTCAAATTATAATTCTAATGTACAAAAATATGTTTTTATGCTCAAGAAATAATATCATATAATTTTTGACAGCGTCAGATTGTCATAAATAAATATTTAGGGTCATTTAAGGTCATTCAAGGTCATTATAAATATTTTATGGCATCTTGATAAACACGGAGGCCTACAGTAACTGTCATGTTTTACATCAGAAACATACTCAACCTCTTAGAATTCAGTTTTTTGATGGGAACTACAGTATTTAAGGTCATTTTGGTGGCCATCTTGGATTTCAAAATGGCTGCCATGGATAAAAATGTTAATATCTCAGCTTTTAAAACATTTCAAATTTGAATCCTGATGCCTAAAATTATGTTTTCATGATCAAATATTTAAGTTACACCATTTGTGACATGTTAAGATAGATATTATGGTCATAAATTAGTCAATTAAGGTCATTTTATGTTTAATACTTTGTGATATGCTCCCGTTAGCAGTCATGTTTCAATGTAAATATTATACTTAAGCTCACAGTATTTGATAAGAAGTCATTATGGCAGCCATTTTAAAATCATTTGATTTCATTAGGTCAAGGTCATTTAGCAGCCATCTTAAATTTTTAGATAACCACCATGTATAAAGCCTATATTAATGTTAAGAATTTTTATGTTTTATGTGTACTGTACATAGTAAACAATACCATTGTATAATTTGACATGGTCAGGAAATTATAGTCGTAAATAGGTCATTTAATTATGTATAAGTGCATAAATATTGCATTCTTTCCTTGGCTTTGTTGCTTGGTGAATTATACTGACCACTGTAAGCACACTATTATTATAAATATAGGAAAATATTTTAAAAAAAACATCTTATATACTAGCTGGAAAAGTAATTATAACAGTTCCTCATCATATAATACTAAAAATCTAATATAATTCTCTCTACTCACTTGCAATATTAGTGCTATATCAAAATGGTGACGTCGGATTCAGATAGAAAGTCTACCAACCTCATCCCCACCATGGTTAAATGTTTATATCCAAACACTACAAAATTAGTCTAATTAATTTGTATGATCATGATGGTCAAAAATATTTAAAATTCATATATATATATATATATATATATAATATATATATATATATTATATATTTTTAAGGACTGTTATTA